AAAAAATTTATTTTGGTATTGCGATTTGAACCAGAAAAAAGTATCCTGTATTCATTTTTGAATATGATAGTAAGAAAACGTGCTCACACACATTTTCCTGTTTTTAAAAAAAAGTAATGAGGTAAAAAGAGTATATTAGGGCCCTATCTCTTTTTTTAAACAATAAGACAATAAATGGTGCATAAGGTGATATAAATACGATGATTATATTTATGAAATAAAACCGATCTTTCTCTATTCAATTATATTTTTAATTTAAAATAACATAAAAAAGGATTTCAACACTTTTAATTTATTTACATTTAAATCATATAAATTATATTTTTATGTTAAATGAATATTTTTCGGAAAAAATTAAATTTTCATTCCTATTGCTCTCTTTTTCGAACTCCTTGTATTAAAAAGAAATATCTTTTCTACATCGGCATTTATGATGGACATAACACACATTCAGTCAATAATTTTTAATTTTAATGGGGGATATACATTTTCTTCAAATGCGCGAGACAGTACTTCTAACCATTTTCTACTCAAGTTTAATTTTTTATCTTTCTGTTTCTTTTATTACAAGGAAAATTGTCACGCATCGATAACTACATTTTCACACAATTCAGTCATTACAAATTCTATTGTGAAAAAATGTTCTGACCAATTAAATTTGTCTTTCAAATCAGTACACTTAAAACAATTTTGTTCAGTGAAGTTAACCGACAATTCCGCAATGTATCCATACCAAATGTTAAAAACAATTTTAACATTTGGAAATGCATCCTGTATTAAACTTTTTGAGTATACACAAATATTGCCTGCTGTAGGGAAAACATAGTATGAGAGGTGGTATATGGTTTTGAAAGTATGTTTTCATACGTGTAGACCCATTTTTGAAAATTTAAGTATCACTGAAACTGATCGTATATCTGCAAATGAGCCTCATTTTAGTGTGTGCTGGTATCAAAATAAAACACTTCCCAGTTAAACAGCCCATGAGTTTATATTCAGTATCAAACTATTCGCAAAATTGCTTATAACTTCTATTCAAATTGTAAAGAAACTGAAGTATAAATATATTTTACTGCAGTCAAAATATTTATATGTAAAAATCCTATTCCTCCTCTTATTTCAGTACATTTTAAAAACTGTAGCTGAAAACAATTTTTTATATTTATAAACGAGGCATAAAAACTTCGCACAGTTATAAAAAAAATGTATTTATCATTTTTAAATATACTACTATAAAACGTACATGGATTGTAAGATCAGTTCTAATAATCTAAAAGCTTTTAGAGGAGCAAAAAACATAAAATTTTGGATAGATCAAAATTTTAATATAATTCACAAATATACATGCTATTAAGCAAATACATTTGAAAAATCAAAGTTCTTTCTGAAATAAACGTAATTGAAAGAAAAATGTTTAATTTGCATATTATTGTCAATAATTGTTTATCTAATTGGTATCCCCAAAGTTAGGCAATCTTTAACTTTAAAACTCAAACTCAGTAGCACAACAGCTCATGAAAGCCAGGAACTACTATGCCCATCACCAGTATACGTAACCATTGGACGCTGAGGTGCATGAGCAGATGTCCCGATTAGGTGGTCTGTCTCAAGTGAGACCTCCAGTGTTTAAGACCCCAAGCAAGCTTGGTACTCATTTATAAAACCACTGCAGCGGGGATGAAAGGCAGAGAGTCGGCCCTGCCCATTCCGTTAATAGAACCCGGACCTGTGGTGTGGAAGCACGATACACTACCACTCGACCCTGTTTGATGAAAAATAAAACTTAGTGTTGGAATCTTATACAATTCCCTATTGAATGAGGGAGTCCAAACTTTTTTCTTCATGTAAACTGTTCGGACGGAAAGGGTTAAATATGAACATTTCACAAGGTGCATTAATTAAAATTAATCGTTATAGTCTATATAAATTTTTAAGAGTACAAAAGGCGTATTTTGGCGGCACGAATTAATTTTAAAAGAAGTACGGTTACGAAAAAGTAGTACAAATAAATCTCTAAAGTAGGGTTGGTTACCTTAGATATTTTCAAACACAACAATGTATTGGAAGCCAATTCCACAATTCGTTGTTATAAAAATGTGTGGAAAATTACAAGAATTATTTTTGCATTTGTAATTTTAGTATTTTTTTTCCTGAAAACTTTACAAGCTAGAGTGGCATCCATCAAAACCGCGAGTCCCTCTATGTTTTCCCAGCTTGCCCCTGCCTAAGTCGGCTCTGCCCTAGTAAGTGAAAATGCCGTGTTTTGTTTCTCAAGATCATTTTATTGCAGACTACATTTTTCATGTATTTTAGATGGTCGTTTTATATTTTCTACATCAATATCTTAATGTCTGAATTTAAAATTACATGAAATTATTAACATGTGCAACAATGATCATTATAATTTTTATTAGTATATGAATGCGTCGTCAAACGATTACATGACTAGTATTAATATATTATTTTGTGTGTGACCATTTAATTAATATTAAGTATAACATACTGTGCACACATTTTCTGAACTTTAAAATAAATATTTCGAAAAACTACATTAGATATATACTCATATTTTTTCATTCCTACGGTTTAGCTTCTCAGCTTCGCTTCTATGTAAAAATTTATTGTATATTCATCAATATTTTTAGCATATTTTTTGCTCTTAACATGCAGTTTTCAACCGAATTGTATGAAATTTTCGAAATATATTAAAAAATACTAAAGATGCTATATAATAAAATTTGAAATATGTATTATACTCAAAGAATTGCTACTACTTATGGTAGATAATTTTTAGCTGCGTGATACATATTTTTCGAAATTTCAAAAGAAATTTCTAATATAAAATTTCTAGCTTTATACGGTCGAGATTTCAAAAAACATCCAGATTTTAATTACTTATTCAGTTAGCTTTTAAAAAAGATAAATGTTGAGGTATTTTGCATGAATAGATACTTTTGAATAATAATTTGAATGTTTTTGAATAGCTAGAATTTAAAATTGATCTTTCTGTTTATTTATATGCATAAATGTCTACTGTAAATGTTTCCGTATATTTTTGATTACCATTTATTCAAACATTCAAGTCATAAAAAAGATGTGGTAAAATCTTCATTCATGTTCTCTTTGATGTAAACTGAAGTTCAAGCACTTAAAATTCAAATATAACTCGGTGTATTTTAACAATATATAACTAGGTACTCTACATAAACTTCCCTGAACACCTGGCTTTGAGATAAAAAAAAAAAAAAAAACTAATAGATCTGAATTAGTTTTTTTAATTTTTTTCTCGTTATTATTTTTATTAAAGTGTAAGAAAATGTTTCAAATTATTTCATGAAGTTTAAATTTATTCATTTTTAGTAGTTGGAAAGTTTAAAAGGTTTCAAATTTTAAAGTGTTCGATGTTTTATTAATTTTTTTTTTTGACATCTTATAAGAAAATAATCATGTTTCAAAAACTGAAAAAATGATTAAGATAAGAAAAATGAAGCGAAAGAATATATTTAAAAAGGTATTTTGTCTAACTATATAAAATAGCAGATTGCCCTGACACGCCCCAACTAGTTACAGTTTCAAATTAATATGAAACCAAAAGGGAATTATAACATATTTTACTTATGCGTTGGGACTTTTCAACCCTGCGAGCCATAAAACTTCCTATCAGTGTCCTGCTGTGTGGCTTCCACCGTCCCTAATTATCTTTCAAGATGTTAAACCTTTAAAAGGGGGAAAGGATTTCAGAAAATTACGGCTCAACCGCTTTTGAGAATCTTACTTGAAGGCAAAAATATACGTGCGCTGCATTTTTTGAAGCAACTTTACAATGGTAGCATTTTACGTACAAAACGCTTGGAAGGTTAAAGAAAAAAAAATGGATAAATATATTTCAATCAATAAACATAAATATAGTAAAAATATAAAATATTCCCAAAAAAACTGTATGCAAAGCATAAATTTTCGCATTCATATGACGTCATAGCAACAGATAATCACTTAATTATTAAAGCTTAAAACATTTAAAGAAATTTACATTGACGGAGAATTTGGAGAATCCCTGGCTATTTAGTTATATTTTCGGGAGGATCTAACTCACCAAACCAGAGGGTTTAGGAATAAAAAATGGTTCACCGAGACAGACAGAAAATGACACAAAAAGTATGCATAAACAAGAAAATGTAATGCAAAATTATAATTATTTTTTTTAAAAAAAATACTTATGCAAAAGACCAAAGGAGGGGGGGATACACCAGTCTATTGTATATGCGAGTGTATTATGAAATATTGAAACAGGAAACTAGCTTATTAGGAATCATATTGTTATTAAAAGTAGCATGTAATTAGAAAGGAATTGCTTCCTGTGTAGATTTTTTAAGATGTAATAATAAGTATGATAATATTTTTCATGGAGTTTATTTTCAAGTAACAGTTTGTAGAAAAATTAATAAAATAAAAAAGTGTGTGTGTACTTATGTACGCACGCGTAAGAAGTTATACTTCTTTGGCGTAACAAGATTAAAATCTTTCTAAAAATCTTTAGCAGGGCAAGCTGGGCCAAGTACGAATGGTGGTCAGGAGCAGAGTTGAACGATACTAACCTTCAGTCAATCGGACCAGCCAAACCTGAGATAATCACGATTTATATAAATTTAAACACCCCCGCACAGGGACAATAGGACCAATAATATGGGGAGGGGATCGAAGCCGGGAATGATCTGTCCCGATCTGCATATTTCTACACAAAGCATTTTCGTATCCGTTCCTACGGAACACAAAGCAAAGGTTCGCTGACGGGGGCGTATAGCTCAGTGGTAGAGTATTGAGCTGCAGATCGAGAGGTCTTCGGTTCAAACCCGGGTGTCCCCTCCTTCAGGGAAGTGAAGAGAAACATTTTTTTTGAGAATTCGAAGGCGGGAATGATCTGTCCCCCATTCTGTATATTCCTAATCAAAGCATTTTCGTATCCGTTCCTACGGAATGCAAAGCAAAGGCTCCCTGACACGGGGTGCATGGCTCAGTGGTAGAGCATTCGACTACAGATTGAGAGGTCCCGGGGTTCAAACCCCGATGCTCCCTTCTTCAGGGAAGTGAAGAGAAATAATTTTTTTGAGAATTTCGATGGCGGCAATGATCTGTCCCGTTCTGTATATTTCTAGACAAAGAATTTTTGTATACGTTCCTACGGAACACAAAGCAAAGGCTTGCTGACGCGAGTGTATAGCTCAGTGGTAGAGCATTCAGTTGCAGAGCGAGAGGTCTCCGGTTCAAACCCGAGTGTCCCCTTCTTCAGGGAAGAGAAATTTTTTTCTGAGAATTTCGAAAACGGGAATGATTTGTCCCGTTCTGTATAGTTCTAGACAAAGGATTTTCGCATCCGTGACGGTGTGCGCGCGCATTGTAAAAAGTTACCCTCATCCTATTTCTCTAAAAAACACCCCAAAAGAAGTATAACTTCAAAAATTAAAAATAATATATAAAAACACAAACTTTTCAATAAGTAAAGTTCGCAACACTATACAAACAACGGAAAGAATTTTGGAGAATTCCCTACAAAAGTTCGAAATTCTCTTACACTTATATCTGAATTGTGTGTGGAAAAAACTATCGCAAATTCGACTTGCTTGATGGTTAGCGTCCGAGGGCTTCCTGAGCTTGAGGGCCCCGGTGCATGCCATTGCATCCCATTGGCAGCTACAACACTGGTTAAGAGTACACGGTTTGTAAAATTTCATTTTTTCATTTCATCTTAGGATTAAATCGAAATAATATTAATTGATGCTAATTTTTTTTTTCATAAAACAGCTTCCACTTCCAGGAAGAGACATGCATATCCTTCATTACTGTTCCCACTATTTAAAAAAATGTGGTTCATTTGTCTTGTTTATTGTAAATTTTATTTTTTTTCTGAATCATCAATTATGAATCATTTTTTTGAATCATTATGTAAAATCAATGTAACTATTGTGTTTTTAGATGGTTTTCTCTCTCTCTCTCTCTTTTTTATACATCACAAAAGAATTTTAGTAATATTATGTGTTGCAGTTATAAAAACATATTCTTATAAGTAATTGTGTTATTGCTGATAGAAGTATAGAGAAGGCATTTTTTAAAAATTCTTTCGGAATACGTAAAGTTTGTCGCTAATAGGTTAGTTATTTCAATGTTTACTTTCTTTTTTAATTTAAAGAGAGATAAATTTAGTCGAATTACTGTAAATTTATTTTCAAATAAGATTGCATGTGTTAATATTTAATTATCAAAAATATCCTGAAATGACATTTTTGCAGCTAGGAATTATTGGAATGAGAAATATAATGTATTTTTTTATATCATAATAATCTGAAAATACTCTGAAACACGTAAACTGTATAAGATCATGGTGCGAATTAAAGACAAAGCTGGAAAAAAATTGTACTATTGACGTGGATAACATAATGTGTACAATCGAGAGAAAAAAGCGATGGCGCGTCAACATTGAAAGAATGCTTGCTGAAGTACAATTTTTATCCAGTCAAAATTTGGTGTTCAGAGGAACTAGTACGAAGTTGAGATAATGGTAATTTTTTAAAGACAGTTTAGACATTGGTCAAATTTGATCCAGTTATTTCAGAACAACCTAACAATGTCAGTAAATGCCAATGCAACAAAACATGTATTCCACACTACTTAGAGCAGTATTTTCAAAATGAAATCGTCACTATTTTAGCTGGATATATTCGTAATGAGTTAGCATACATTTTCAAAAAAGCAAATACACTATAATTCTTGACTCTACACCAGATATTAGTTCGAGCCCAGTACCACTAAGGCCCCACCATGTTGGAGAGCTATGCACGTTAAATCTGTAGACAGCTCAAACGTCCTCCCGTTGGTGCGGTGTGGTACTTAGGAGAGGGGGTGTCAACTCAGTTGTCGTCCTCGTCACTTGACCATGGTTCAAAATTACGAGGTAAGTCGCCAAAAGCCCTCGTGTAGCTGAACAGTGCGACGTTAATATTCATTCCCTCACACAATAGATATTAGTCACACAGAACAAATAAAGCTTGTTATTAGATGTGTGAGCACAACTGATGGTAAGGTATATATTTTACAATTCTTTCTAGGAGCTTTTAGGAATACTATACACAAGAAAGGCTTGCAGATATGGATACATTCTCTATTGAATCCGAAATCTCTGAAATAATTGATTTCCCCAAAATTATTGACAAATTTGTGTTTCTCAGAAAGCCAAAAAAGTTATTTTATAATTAATTTTTAAGTAGTCTTAGTAGAAAGACTGATTCATATACTTTTCGTGTTTCACGAGATTTATGCTTTAGTACTTTTTTTATTAAATTGTATTTTCTGAGTAAATACTGTTGCTATTTTCTTTTCTAATTATAAAATGTCTGATTTTATTTCACAGATAATATTTTTGTTTGTTTATTATTTTGTTAAAGTGTTTTGTGTCGCGATCATTACCCATTACCTAACCAAAAGTAAAGCTTTGCTCTCCAAATTTTATCTGCATTTTTATTAATGTTTTACTTTTTTCTCTCATATGAGTTTATAACCTCAATATATAAGTATTAAATAAGTAATTATATATCTAAGTATTGTAATAAAAAATTAAATATATAAGTATTGTAATATAAAAAATTAAATATATAAGTATTATAATAAACAATTTATTATATAAGTAGTGTAATAAATAATTAAATACATAAATTTTGCAATAAACAATTAAATATATAAGTATTATAATAAGTAAGTAAATATGTAAGTATTATAATGAGTAATTAAATATATAGGTATTAGTCAAATTATGAAAAATTCTCCAGAGGGGCGGCACATTAGGTCTTTGCACTCGGGGGGCCGACACAATAGTCAAATTTCTTTCTTTCATGGGTTCTTCCATGTACTATGGCCCACAAACACTCCCTCGAAGCTTTACACAGAGCTTTACAACATTTAAACGGCAACGAGAAAATATTCGGTGGTGCTGTACTATTACTATCCAGTCATTTCGGACAGACATTCTAAGTCATTCCTCGCTCTACCTTTGCCCACGAGATTAACGTAAGTTTAAGACAATCTTTTTTATGGCAAAACATTGAAATACTTTGATTGACCATAAACACGAGAGTTCTATTGCAAGATAATTAATCGGCCCAGATATTTTCTAACCAACTGCTGGATATTGGAAACAGTGAAGTAGAACTGCATCAAAATACAGAATGTATCAAATTGCAGGGCAATTTCTGTATTGTTGTTCAGACAAAAAAGGAACTGATTGAAAGTGTCTTCCCTGATATACTGTATAATTATCTAAGTAATGAGACTGGCGCTGTAATCCTGTTACTTGGGTAGAAAAAAATGTTTATGTTGAGGAAAGAAACTTCCAGATACAGAGGTGCTACCAGGTGATCTAATACCTTTTAAATCAATCGTCACTATTATTGATAAAAACGAAAATGTAACATTTTTGAATTCCTTGGATATATTAGGAATGCCACCTCACAATCTTCGGTTGAAGATTGGTTCACTGTTTATTCTGCTGCGTTACTTAAATACACCTAGATTATGTAACGGTACACGTTTGGTCATTAAAAAAATTACCGGGAATCTTGAAGCAACTATTTTGATTCTACAATTTAAAGGAGAAATCGTCCTGTTGCCACGTATTCCTCTGATAACGTCAGAATCTGCAGTACCATTCAAATCGCTTCAATTCGTTAGGTTTTCGCGATGACCATAAATAAATCTCAAAGCCAAACAATGTCAATTTGGGACTTGGACTTAGAAAATCCATGTTTATTACTTGGGAACATATATGCTGCTTGCTTACGCGTGATGAAACCACCACAAGTCATCAAAAAATATTTTACACCGATTGGCTATTAATTATAAATAAAGTATTTATTAAGATAATTTAGAACGATACAAATAATATTATAAATTGCTAAAAATCAACGCTATTAACGTCATCTATAAAATTATGTTTTCAAATTTTATAACACAACTTTGTAAACAATTCATCCATTATATTATATACGGAAATAAGAGATGAATAAAATGCAAAATTAAAAAAAAATATGTGGTTTTATGCTTAAGTTCAACTCTCCAAATTCGTAAGCACAAAAGAAATTTGGCTGTTTTGAATAGCTGAGAATAATATTAAATCAACGTATTTAAATAAAGCCACAGCAACGCGTGACCGGGTCAACTAGTAAGAAACATAATCATAAACAAAAATTATACAGATACATAAATTTAATGCGGTGGTTAGACTTTAGTATCGCCAACTCATGTTAGTGGGCTACAGTTCATCTGATGTTGGTATCACGACACAAAAGGCGATTGTCGCCAAAGTAAGAGCCAAGCTTATAACTAAATCAGCGCCTGAATATCAGTTTACTTTAATAGTAAACTGATCTTGCCCACTTTCATCCATATGATCTAATCATTTAGTCTAAATTATATCTTTTTTGTTTGAAATTATGAAAAAAGATAATATAGGTTCATTAATAAACGATTCATGTAAGACATCAGAAATATACTCTAAGCAAATTTATGTTGCCAAACTGAAAAATGATATTTAGAAAAAACCTTTTTTTATGACGATTTTTTCGAAAACCAAATGTAATTCTATCACAAAGAATTAAAACACGAATAAATAAACCTTAAGTAAATATATTTACAATAAACTGTACTAAATTCTTCAAAAAACTGCTCGAAACATTAATTTTCACAGAGTTCAGACTCGACACATCTGATGACGTCATTTTCCCACTTTGCTGAAAAATCACTTAAAAATTAAATTTTAAAAAATTCTAAAACAAAATTCGAAAAAAAAAAAAAATCTTTGAGGTTAATATATTAATGACCTACAGTTTCTATGTGCCAAGTTTTACAATTCTGGGATGCTTAATTTGGCTGGAATAGCTGAAACACATACAGACACACAAACTATTTCTTTTATTAGTGTTGATTGAAGTTATGCCAAAAAAAAAAAAAAAAAAAAAAAAAAAAAAAAAAAAAAACAAGATAAGTGAAGCCAAACGAGAAGAGATTTTCAGAGAGCAGAATTTGTTGGA